TTGGGCCGTCGTTCTCTTCTCATGTCCGAGACTGGCTAATCTGTCAGCAAGCACGCCAAAAATTCCCGTTTTGTTGTTGGTTTTTATATTTTCTATCCGGTCTCTCAGCTCGGGTTGGCCCCACAAATCTACCAGGTCAGCAGTTTCCTGGTCGCTCCAAATCAATCGCATTATTATTAATTAAAATTTGAATTAACTTTTATGAAAAGTAATGATTGTGTCTTGATTGAACACACATGAAGAACTCGCTGGTTTTTAATTCAAGAACTTCTAAACGCAACGGCGTCATCGACTGTGATTGGTCGACAGCCGACGAGGAAATGTCAATCTCGGTCACGCCATGGTCAATCCAGGGTCAGTATGGGTGCTGAGCCGGGATAGAGATAGGTAGATTGAGATCGAGGTCACGCCAGACGCGAGTCGGTGCAGATGCGGTCACATTACGAAAATCTCAAGTCAGACTTGAAACTCTAGTGTGACCTTAGCCGTAATGTTTTACTTCTAGCTGAGAGGCCATGTGTGGCAATTAACTTTTAACTTTTCCCCTTAGCTATAAAATATGTTTAAAACATCTGGACGAAAAACCCATCTTTTTAGTGGATATTTTCATTACACATTGCCTCCAGGCGTAATTAATCATGCGTAACAAGGCCCTGTCAAATTGACCTTTAGATTAGTAAACAACCAGGTCAGAGTAAAAATCCTATCGTTCAACCCCATTCCCAAATTCTCATATAACATTATCTCCTTTATGATAATAACTTAAATATTATTTAAAACCATAAAAAAAAGTTTGACCGTAAGATCATGAGCAAACACGAGAAAATGCTTACAACAAAATTAGAACCTAGCGCACAACATTTTTACATCACTGTATTCGTTTGAATGTTGTATTACTTGGTACACTAAAATACACCAAGGCAGAGTTTAAACTGAAGGTGTGGTGGTAGATATAATTCATTTTATCATATTTTAAATCAGTATTACTGCCTTAAAATCAAACTTAAAAATTATAATTACATACATTTTGTATTTTAGGTTCAGAATAATAACTTTATAGCAACTTTTAAATTGGTTTTGTTGCAATAAACTTTACGTGTTGTACAGTACATGGCACCGTCTAACAGCGGACATGTGCCGATGGTGTGTCCAATTGTTTTCACTGTGAAAAATCACTGATGAAGTTCTAAATCAAGTTACACAGAGGCTAGATTATGGATAGTTTTATACAATAACAAAAATATTGTTGAAAATCTTGTGTCTGACCTTGGATGAAATAAAGACATTCACAAGTTATTGGTTTTACTGGTTCTTACTTTACTCATAGGAACGACCTTCCGAATTAGCCTCAAGGCTATTATTAGACTACATGTGTATTTGACTTTACATCCGAATCCAGCCCTGGAAGAGATAATTGTATGACTTTATTAAACAGTTCACAAATTGAATACATGGTAATACTAAGTGCTGATTATAGTTATTGTTACAGTTGACCTGGGTTTGGTTTTGGTCTTTGCATTACTTTTAGATTGTACTTTCTTTTTGTTTGTATTGTTTTAGTGATTAACAGAAAATCAAGGATGCTCAATTTGAGCTTGAATTTTTGTTTTTATTTTCGTGGTTTGATGTTCAGTATAATACTATACACTGACTACAGAAGGTCTATCTTGGAAGATATTAAGATTTTTTTTCTTTGATATGACCTGACCTTGTGTAAGCTTCTTTATTCCGCTTTATTCCAATCTTTAGTTTTAAATATTGATCACAGTAAAATAAATACTAATTACAAAGTGTACAGAATAAATTGATTTGTTTGTATTTTTTTTTTTTTTTTTTATATACAGCAACAGTAACAGATTCAAAGAAATAATGGTTTAATGTGAATAAAAAAGTTTCACAGTATTACTGTATGTTAGATGTTTAATGCAATACAGTACATCTGTCTGCTGTAATTCAACTTCTTTGTTTCCCCAGAGAAAATACTTTATAAATACAATTTTTGATGATGTTTTTTTCATAAAAAATTAGTTTGTAATAAAATAATTAAAGTGTAAACATACTGAAACAAAACAAACAAAATTACAACTACAGTAAAGTACACCTGAAATTTATTTAATTGATCACATTCACATCACTCAAACCAGAACAGTTCTAGGCCTCCTCCATGCATTACTGCTAGACCTAGGATATTTTCACTATTTATCAAGCTATGTTCCGACAATCACTACAGCTATGTTCACACACACGGCGTAAGGCTGGTTTAAGCCTGGCGTAGCGTACGCCTTTATGTGTGAACTAGGCAGTGCCGTTGTTAAAGCCACTCACTACGCCACGTCCTTGGCGTTATTAACGCTACCTGTAGACCCCAGATTAGCTAACGCCAGGGATGCTTGAATGATTTGACCTCATTTCAAGAGATTGACCAATCACGTTGGCAATATATTAGCTACTTTGGTCTCTTTCCTGTGCCTGTCTCTTATACACATCTAGATGTGTATAAGAGACAGGTACAGTACTTCACACTAACACATTATGCGAGAGTTGGCAGGTGTAGATATGTATCATCATTTATGATATTATTTTGCTTACAGATTTGATTCATTGCTTTTCAAAATGGCAGAAGAGACTACAGAAGTTAAGAACCCGTACATTATTTAAAACTTAAAACTATTCCCCCATAGGCCTATATTATTACTAGTTTAACGTCAGCGTTAATATAGCGAAAGCCGTTTGTGTGAACACTTTGGAATTTTAATCCGTGAATTAGCTTACGCCTGGCGTAAGCTACACCAGTCTTACGCCATGTGTGTGAACATAGCCTACTATACTATGCAAGTTAATGAGAAATCCAGTTGAGGTCACATTAAATTCTGTTATTATTTTTTATTTTATTCATTCTGGCAAAAAAAATCAGAAAGTCACAAAAAAAATCAGAAAGTCACAAACAAATAAGAATAATTATGGTAGGTGAGCCAGGAAGCAACCAAAGTGGAACCATTGTCATGTTAGAGATGTGCTGCTCCCAGCATCGAATTCTGTTGTATGTCTACATGAGAGTTACACAGATAATTAGCGCTTATACACTGATAGGTTGAATATTAAAGTGATTTCTATTGATCTCATGATGATGTTGCAATAAAACGAAGACGACAAAACAGAAATTACATTAGGCCTAGGCTAGGCCAAATGCCACGGCGAGGGATTTTCACTTTGTACAGCATTCTGTAAAAGCAAAATGACAGACTCTCTGAGATTTTCTTATCTATTAGCCAGCTAAGCCTACCTATATAAAAATTAAGAGATTTTCGGCAGCTTTTAAACCAAGCTACCTACCACATGGTGTATTTTGTTCTAGCTAGAATGTGTGAACTACGGTGGCTAAAGACATTACCGTACCGTATTAGCTGTAATCCCAGAATCATGTATCTCACCGGCATTTGTCAGTTATCTCGTTCAGCCGGATCTTTTTAGACACAGCAAACGAACTACCACTGTTTTTGCGGATTTCTAAAATACAATACAATACATGAACATTTTTTAATGAAATTTATCCTGTAATGTTTTATTTGGATTCTTTGACAATTATAAAGTTAAAAACAACTCAAAAAGGTAATTTTAAAGATGCTTTGGTTGATATTACTGTATTAATCAACTACTAGGCCTAGAATTGTCACATAAACAAGACCGTGGTCAAGGTACAGATGTTATAACAATCAACATGTGGTATTAACCAGTTAATCAACGGGGTGGCCTTCGGATGAGAGCCATGCCAATCCGCTCATTTTTCTATGAGGAGATCCCATTCATATGGTTGGTGTCAACCTCATAACAAGCACTATGGCATACAGCAGTTTTTTGTCAAAGAAAGTTTGATATTATATCTTGGTACAGTATCTTTATTGCAAAAACATATAAAAAACATTGCAACCAAAGGCTGAATTACTGTATTTTTTTACAAAACGGTGATTTATTAAAAACATCAAATATATTAAGTTATTAAAAAAAAAACCCATTAAAAATGTAAACACTTTCTGGACAGGGGTTTAAAGAGCATCTTCTCAGCCACATATCTTTGCATTTGCCTACTGTCATCAAGTTGTTCAAGATGTCACAAACCAAAAGTAATTACACTAATTATATAAAATTTTAAACTTTTATTAAATTTCTAAAAGCCTTTACCTTTTTATTGAAGATTAAATCCAGAACCATTGGGATTGGAAGGCAAACATTTTATTTTAACCTCAAAGCCCCAGATCAACTTTTAGAACTACCGTAGATTTAATTGAATTTGATGGAAAAATTTGCATGCTGTTTACATAAAAAAGAGAAATATTTAATATGTTTTTTTTTTCATTACTAATGAAAAACATCAAATTTTCTCTTTGACATTTCAGGTCTGTGTAAGCGTTAGAAAGAAGAAGAGGAAAAGGGTGGTTAATAATTAAGTGTCAAAGAAGCAGTTTATACAGTCTTCGGAAATTGAAGCTTTGGGCATAGGTGCATCAACAGTTGTAGCTAGGAATTGTGTATGTAGCAGGAGTTTACGGACTCATCATGGGCTGGGATACAGTAAAGGAAGATGCTAAAGGACAAGTCTTGAGTCCATTTCTGTTCCAAGTTGGGGGGCATAATAGTGTACTTAAATACAATGAGAACACATTGTGTAAACCTTTAAGCATCAGGGAGCATCAGTTCTACCAAACACTACCAGAGGATCTCATGTGCTTTGTACCACAATACAAAGGTAAAGTATTCATACTTTTAAATATTGTTAGAGTTATCCATTCCCAGTATGTGTTCCAATCCTGTACTGTCCAAAATCTTTTCTGACATATCATTTTTGTTATACAGTAATGCGAATGGTTGATATCTACTGTATAGTTAGTGTACTAGAGCATTGACATTAGAGTGTATGATCAGCTAATGACAACAGGGACTACTGTTGGTTGTTTCACAGACACCAATGCCCTTTGTACTGACAATTATTGATAACCCAGACAGAATTGATTATGTCATTTTAAGATACATAAGTTTCCTAATTATGATTATTGCTTGATGATGGCGAGTCAAATTTCTGGTTCAAATGGCATGCTTGTCTATGGTTCTGGAGGTGGAATAAGCCTTCTCGGATAAGGAATATAAATCGTAGTCCCAGACACGTAAAAACTTCATCAAATAACACTATAGAAATACTGTAATGTATGTTTATGGACATCCCTCCATACAGTGTACGTGAACATCATTATTAATTACTTTTATATAATACTTATTTATGATTATATTATTATTGTGCTTTATTGTTATCATTTTTTATTTAATATAGGTCTCCCTCTAATTAAAGACCCCTCCAATTAAAGACCAATTTCCTGTTTTGCCATATTAATAAATGTTTCTTATCTTTATTATTCTAATTGGAAACCAAATCTTCTAAAGGCCGCAGGAACCCTGGTCCCAAAAATAGTCTTTAAGAGGAGGGAGACCTGTATTCGTACTAACTTATATTCTTGTTTTTATTATTGTTAATAAATATGAAATTTATTGTCATTTTTACTTTATATTTGTTAAATGTTATTATTTTGTTTAAAAGGTATAGCTTATGTGTCATGTGAAGAAGGGAAAGATGGAGATGTTCATCTGAAGGCATACACAGACAAAGCCATCAGAAGGCTATCATCTGCCCACTTGCCTAGCAGCAGCGGTGAGGCTGCTGAATCAGAGGATGAAGGAAATAGTAGAGCATACCACCATCCCAATAACAGGGGATCACTCAGGAGGAATCACCATAGGTTAGTACCACCATTTCACAACGCAGGGAATCACTCAGGAGGAACCACCATACTGTACATACGTAAAGGGATTGAAGTCAACTTGAATTTGTGAACAATCTGCATTTCATTATACTGTACAGTAACATTGAGAACCAAAAATTTTCTGTTTTATGCAAATTCAAACTAGTTCCTGTACTGTAGTATAACCCCACCCCACCTTCCTAAACATGGATGGTCTTTATACCCAGGTAATTCCCTGAGACTTCCAAATTTATAGAGATGGCCAATAACTTATGCTATGTTCTCACATGGCAGCTAATGGTTAGCAGGATCCAGATCCTCCTAACCTTTAGCTGCCGTGCGTCCATGCGAGGAAATCCCGATCCAGATACCAACAATATGATGATCGAATCACTGGCCAATAAGAAACTGGAAACTGTAAACGCGTACGTGTGATTGGTTGATGATAGAAACACCCTCAACTTGCTAACCGATAGCGCTTGCTAACCATTAGCGGTATCCGGATACAGCGGTTAGCGCTAACCGATCGGGCATTCTCACGCAGGTGCTAACGGTTAGCGCTAACAGTTATCTCCCGATCCGGATACTAGGGCTCTCGTGAGAACCAGGCTTAGGGGAATTTTCAACACAACTTGCCCAATTCTAATCTTCTGCCTCTTTGATTTTTTATTTGATTTTTTTGTTTTTTTTTTGTCGTGGTGTGAGAAATCTGGTATTGATAGGTTAGCTTCAACCCCTAGATGTGAGCGTGTGAGGCTCCTCAAAGTTGGATAGTAGAAAGCATAACAAGAACAGACAGAAGACTACGGTGTCGGTTGCCACAAACTTTTTATTTATTTCATTGTTCCGACGTTACTGCAGGTTACTGTTAATATGTATGCATATAATTATAACAGCCAACAAAAAAAGCCCTGAAAGCACAATATGATACAATTATTATCTTTAGTGATCACTTTACTGAAACTTCTCTCATCATTACCATCCGTATAAATGAAACCACTATACCAACATTATGGCAATCAGTAATCATTGTGAAAACACTATTAACAGTTACTGGTATTGTAAATTGTTGAATTTAAATGAGTATATATATAATACATATAACAAAAGAATATAGGAAACGAATACCATGAGACTTTAGAAACACTTTATTGGAGAAAACCAATATTTCGACCTATCCTCAAAGCTAAATTGAGATAATAAGTACATTGCGATATTAGTACTGCTGCTTTAACGTGGTTTATTACATGCATGGAAACCATACAGCAATCGTCCAAGAACTATTACAGTGATATGATTAACAATATATTTAACTAGCAAAATACTGTTATCAACTTTATGTAATCATGTTATTGACTAGCAATATGTTATTAACAATATTACTTATCGATAACAAGAAAACATTGCATGTTTAGGCAAAGTATCAAATACTGTATTTTCTCTTTCAGATTATCAAAAACTAACACATGGTTATTTCTCGACTTGATGCCAGTAAAGTTTATATCATATATCAATATACAGGTTAACTTTAATATACTTTTGTGGATACATATCATTTATTTCTTATTTGCATCAACACTAGATTACCAAAGAATAGTAGCCGCCGAAGTCTTCTGAAAGAGAGTGAATTCAGTTTTGTAGAAGATGCATCAGAGTTTCATCATGGACAAAAACATCAACGAAGCAACCCGTTTAGTCAGAAGTTACACCGAAAGCAGATAGCTAAGATGCGCAACCACGCTGATCAAAGTCACTACGAAAGTATCCTTAAGTCTACTAGTTGTGAAAAGTAGCAACAAATGTTTATCTAATTTATTCAATACAATGCCGTAAACACTCAGCCACAAAAATAGCAGTGGAGTTGTAGCTCTGAGGTTAAGGTGCTTACTTCCTGTTTGAATGTGTTTCTTATGCCTCATTCTGAGGCCTTGTAAAAGCATAATTGGGCTCTGTGGGAGGATAGTACCTTAATACTGAACAGTTTCCAGTATATATGAAGAATAAATATATTATGCTACTATATTGTGCTGCTGTATGGTGGTTGAAGCTGTTGTACAGTAATTGCTAAAATTTAAAATATTTCTCTTGTTATGTGGTTTAAAGGTATTTTGAAAGTATATTTTATTGTAGAAGGCATATAGAAGTATGGGACATTTACAATTACCATTATATCAGCCTTTAAGATTACCAATCATCATAGACTCCTTATATTCTCTAACCAATGTCACCAGAATTTATACTCTTAGAGAATGTAGTGTACAAGTTTGGTACGCCATCCATCCTGGATCTAAAGATGGGAATTCAGACTTACATGGGTGATGAATCGGAAGAGAAAAGGCAATCGCAAATCAGGAAGGCTGAGTCAAGCACCTCTGCTAAGCTTGGGGTTAGGATCTGTGGTATGAAGGTATTGGATAGTAATTTCTATTTTCTTTAATATCAGTAGTTATCAGTTACTGTATTTAAATCCTAAATATTCACGCAGTGATAAATTCCACTGTGTGGGTGATAACTTGGACATTTTTCAAATGGTGGTTCAAATGGTTGTTAAGCCCAAAAACATGTGACATGCCTAAACATGGTCATGATGACATCACATTTCATTTTTTTCCATTTCATTTCAGCGACATTTATTTCTTTTATCTTTTCTTAGATAAATACACAGTAGAAAATAATTAAATTAATATACATAATATGTATGGGCATACAGCTTTTTTTGTCAAATGAAATTTTATAGTCTGAACAGGGCTTTAGTCTTTAAATGGCTGTCCATACAGTTTGTTAAAATTATATCATTTTGATTAATTTAATTGTTTTCATTTGTATTCTAACAGGTTTACCGTGCTGATTCCAGAACGTACATGTTTCGGGATAAATATTATGGTCGTAAAGTAACAGAAGATGGGTTCAGGGAAGCGATCACGCTGTTTTTGTTCAATGGTTATCATGTGCAAGCAGATGTGATCCCTGCAATAATAGACAAACTAAGACAATTGCGAACTGCACTTGAAAACCAAGATACTTACCGGTTCTACAGCAGTTCATTATTAGTTATGTATAATGCACGACACAGAAAACACGAACCAGACTCCACGCATTCATTGTCAGATGAAGTTGACATCCGAATGATTGATTTTGCAAAGACTACTCACGGACAAATGGGTGCAAGCAGTCATGTGCATGAAGGACCAGATCAAGGGTTCATTTACGGTTTAAACAATCTTATACAGACTTTCAAGGATGTGTACAAAAGCTGTTGGCCCGATGTTGTAAGCATGGAGACCAAGTCCAGGTTGGACAACTATCCTGCATAGTAGTATCTACAACTCTTCAAATCTGTTTCTTGCCGTTCATAATCTTGATTTTGAATAATAGACAAAATTGATTTATCGTGAACTTGCGCTTTTTCTTCAATAGTCGGATTGTCCATAAATCAAAATGATTGAAGCAAGCTGTATTGTCAGTTGAGGAGATACAGTATTTAAACCTTAACCTAAACCTGTATGATTGTATTATATTGGGGGGTGTGAAGAGAAAGTATTAAACTTGCATTTAAAATCTGTAATTACAACTATACTATAATTTGCATATATTTTTGTTAGTAATTTATATTAATCTATAGATGTTTCTAAAATCAATATTCCCTTTTCAAAAGACAAAACTATTTGATATGATTTTTACTACTATGACAAGTTGATAATTGGTATAGCATGCAATACTGTACTTTATAACAGACAGGGGTTTTTTTTGTTATTAAAGGTGTACTGTCTGCCAAAGAAAAATGGAAAAAACACTCAAAGATTCAATTGAAAATTGGAATAGCTCATTTGAAAGCATCAAATAAGCTATTACTTTAACTTCTCAGAAATAAATAAAAAAAAATATTTTTGACTGATTTACAGACATTGTACAACAAAAATCCTTAAATTGATTACCACCCAATTTTTGAATACAGATGTATTATTTAACTGTTAATTATAGGAAAATGTTTTCTCATTCAAATGTTTTGTTGCAAGTTAATATCAAATATGGAATTCAATTTTTGTATTTTCAGTTGATGACAGGCAGTATATTTGTATTATTACATTCTTAATATTTTTATTATTATTAATTTTAATTTCTTCCAACTGTTAATATTATTATTTTTGTATTGTATTATGATTACTGGTATTATCCTTATAACTATTATTATTTTTCTACTGTATTTTTGTCTACTGTATGTAATTGCATGGATTTGGATTTCTTTGTTGGGAAATACACTCTAAGGAGAACCCACAAATGTCTAAAAACATATCTCCAGAGGTGGTGTTCTGATTGTAAATTGGCCAGTACACCAAAAGACAATACCTGTTTCTTGTGGGATATTTAAGTATGTAGCACACTCTAGAGGGACCCTACCAACAAGATCCAGTGAACGAGCCAGTTGCAGTCAATAATAATATGTAACTGCTGCTTTCTGTAGGATTTGCAACTACAAAAAGTAAGTTGCAGTTAACTACTGTAATAGCTATGCTGCTTTCTGTATGATTTGTAAACTACAAAGAGTAAGTTGCAATCAGCTAAAAGCTTTTCTATGATTTGCAGCTCAGTTTGCAGCATTGTACTGGAGTTGCAACTGCTTCTGCTTGACAGTTGCAACTCGTTTTGTAACAACTTATTTTGTGTACATAATCTCCTTATTGCCAATATCATAATACTGTATATTGTAAGGAGTTAAGGATGAAAATATATAATTTCTTAAATCTAAAATGCGAGAAATACAGCGTCGGTACTCCCTCCCTCAATGTACACTAATGGACCAAATATAACAGGGCTTTATATCAGTTGCTTTCATTCAGTATGGCAATAATTCTGTCTGAGCAATTGATCTTTTTGGATTTGCCAAGTGAATATTATTAAATATTATTTGTGCTTATTAAAGGTTGATACCAAATTCATTATTCCATTTGGTATTGAACATTTTCAATTGTTATTTTTTTTGTTTTAATGTCTAATACTCCAGTATTGTTTATGTTTCAGTAAATCACCCTGTTTCTAATTTGGCTCCTTCCCCCTCCGCCCACCCCCCAACCAGCCCATGTAGTCTGTCTATTATGCTGGATATTTAACCTGTGATGTGTCTGTGGGAAGAACAGACAACTAGCAGTATGCTTATATCGAAGTGTAGAGAAAGTGCCTGGTATGCTTTTTTGGAGAGTGTACATTAGGTTTTTTGGAAGGGGAGGAGGAGTGCATTGTACTTAACCGATGTTGAAGTTGTCAACGAAAACATACAGTAGTGTTTTATTATATGTGAAATATACTTAGATTAATATTGTATACAGTGCACCCGCCAGTTCAAGACCCCACTAATTTGATACCACTTTTTAAAGAACTAAATAACAGCATTCAATCTTTAAACACAAAGCCAACCCTCTAATTGGAGACTGAATCCCGAGACCATCCAACATTTTCTGGTCCCAAAGGTGGTCTTGAATTTTTTTTGGCGGAGGAGGGGTTGGGGCGTGGCAGACTGCATTTGGATTTAAAATGTTCCTACATAATGCATTTTTTTCCCTCACCTTTTACTGTTAATGAAATCAGTGTATGTAAGCAGAAACATGGCAAGGAATAAGTCATCTTGTACAGTAGGTTGAGTAGCATGTAAACAAAAATTGTATGCTATGATAATGTGGAGAGCAGGTTTGCAAAAAGAATGAATATATTGTACATTAATTCCATACGTTCTCTGTGATAGACTAGACTTTTTGTTTATATGCAATGCACTTTAACGCAAACATGCACTGTTAATAACACATAATATTATAATGGTTCGGTTGTAAAGTAACCGGAATTTGTGAAGTTTTGCAAACAAAATTGCATACTTATAGTTTTGTGTTCAAACGATTTTAATTAGTGGTTGTTGGAAAGTAGTTTTAATCTGTTAATTTATGTTATATGTTGATATTAAGGTATTGAAAGAGGATTTTTGTTGCTGCAGAAAGGCCCTGTCCAGACTGTCAACTTGTATTTGACAAAAAAAAAAAAACTGGTGTAAGGAAAACAGCTTGTAAAATATTCAGTTTTATTATTCTTTGTGATTATTGTATTTCACAAATGGAATATATATATATATGATGAATAAAATACCATAAAAGTCAATTGTGAGTCTCACACGAGACCTGAGCAATTTATGCCATTCATAGCACTGTTGATTTTCTGCAGTGTGAAACACTGTTTTATCATTTACACAATAATGTTCAAGTTCACAAAACGAGGGTAAATAATATACAGTATTTAAACGCCACAGTCAATCCCATTGATGGAACACTTGGATGTGGACACTATCAATTCTAACCCCAATTAAGGCGACACTGAGTTTTCATTCTATCACAACAAGAATGATAGACTCGAAATAATAATAATATTGAATTTAATTTTTTATCAAACCAGAATTTTTTCTTTTTTTTTTTTTTGCTTTTTACTGGTAAACCAATCATCAGTTTTTAGCCTTACGCCTTGGGATTGACATTTAAAAAAAGAATATTTATTTACTGATAGCACTTTAATCATAAGTCAATATACAGTATACAAAGGTCTTTCTTAAAGTAAAAAACATATTTTAAGTAAAGAACAGTATTAGAAAACTTATTCGGTCCATTATAAAATAGCTCTCAATAGTTTTCAATATTAGGAGGAACAGATCCAAAACCTCATTTCTAACCATCTCATAAATGTCAGCCCCGATAATTATAAGTTGGAGGAGGGGAACTTTAAATGCATTAAAAAGCATGGGATGTATTGCAAGTCTACGAGTCGAACCTAAAAACAGATATTACGCTATTTACGGCTTATTAACGTGCAAAAATATAAAATATAAGAAAATTATAACTGATTAAGATATGTTTTAATTTCCCACCAATCAATGAGTTGTGCTTATTGAAAAATGAAAACATATTTATAACAATACATCAATGTCCTACTGAATGTCAATGTAAATCTAAAACGTGTTCATAAAGTAAAAAAAAAAATATCAAACAAAAACGTGCGTGTCAACATTTCAATTGTATTAGAAAGCTCATTTCCGGCCACCCAGGAATCAAAACTTTCCCGGTGGAGGACCTCGGACCCCCTTTCTTTTTGGGCTTTTTAAAAGAAATATTTTCAACCCCCTCCCCCTCTTTCAAATCCTGGATCCGCCTGTTGGGATACGAAATTGTTCATAGCCTATAGCTTTTTCTTTAAGATAGGACAAATTTGAACAATGCACCAGTACAATTTGGCCCAGGCTCAGTTTTCTATATTTTTTGCCGATTTAGGCTCAAAATGTTCTTATTTTGTTCTTATTTTTACACACTTTTCAAACATAGACAATTATTTGCAAAGTAGTATATTACTGTACTGTTATAGAGAGTATTACATATTCACACTTACACTTGCAAGTAAGGTACAGATACAATTTATTGGTTTTTCTTTGTTTTTTTTTGGGGGGGGGGGGTTTCAAATAAAAACCTCACTTGACATTTTACCTCAGCCTCAATTTGTTCTTATTTTGTTCTTAATTCAGCCTGTGTTCATATAAAATGTGTTCTTATAGAAAAAAAATTAAAAAGTTTATCAAACAAAAAAGCGATTTCATATATTCAAAAGTTTTTCATCGCATTATTGTATCCTGACAACATAATCGGTAGAATACTGTAGGCCTACGTTGGCCCAATGACATAAAAAAAACACTTTGCCTGGCCTGCATTTTGAGACCACCGGGACCTGAAAATTGTGGTCTCGATGTTCCAAAGCGTAATAATAGCTAGATTGAAGATTGTTATTTGGTTCTTTGGAAAAAGTGGTCTCGGAATTAGAAGGGTCTCGAATTGGAGGGTGCACTGTATAAGGTATTTCTTAATCAACGGCGGCGTCACAGCGTCTGAAATCTGGTGGGGGAGGGGAGGGGAGCAAGTGAGGGGAAAGATACAATTTTGGGGAAAATGGGCGTGGTCAGGCGTCGATTAAAATGTGTCGAAAGGGGTACAGGGGAGGAGCTCCTGATAAATGTGACAATTTATGGGTTTAAGATCCTTAACGGTATTTCAGTAATCGATTTTATAGATAGATACCCGGTAGTCTGCTATTATGTAGCAAATACATATAATTTCTTTTCCCCATTTTTTCGAATTTCTCCTTTTTTTTTGTGGTTGGGCGGGGGTGGGGGGGGGGAGGGGAAGAAAATTTTCAGAGCCGCCCTGTTTTTAATTGCCCTCTATATTCATAAATAGATGGTACCGCGCGGTTTCCAAGTCCATGTGACATGATCCATGTCACAATGTAATATATATTACCGTACCGTATACATTTAGACTAATACATTTTTAAATTCATCTTTTGTTGTTTTTCCTAGATTATGGGAACAACTTCCTAATGAAATTAAACGTCATTGTATTTGTTTTTGATGATGGAGTAAGAGCAGCTTACTGTTTGGGCTTATGCCTATTACTTACTCCTGGCAAGAATATTGTATGTATACTTTTTACTCTGCCGAATAAATATTATTATTATTATATATGTCAGGATTGAATGCTTGCTTTTAATTATGAAGATGTTTTGCAGTCGTCGTCTCACTTCAGTCCAACGCAACGGCGTCAGAATTTTTTTTGAGAAATTAGGGGATTGGGCATTTCAGGCAATAGGCCTAAGGCAATTATGCGAGCGATGCCAGCATCTAGGCTCGGCCAGGGGGCCGCCAGTTCGCCCCCTGGAAGCTACGAATATTTGACGAAGTTTGCAGTGGCGTGCGTATCTAGGGATGCACCTTATTTTGGTAATTAGCGCCCTTCAACTGATCATTGACCCCCTCCTCCTCCCCTCCACTTCGCCTTTGCGTCCCCATCAGCACCCCCCCCCCCCCCTTTTTTTGTC